TTCTATTATTTACTGGGATTTTGAATTCAGAGTTTTCCTTGTTTTGGGATGACACATTGAAACAACATTGTCGCGTAATGTGTCACCCTTTCCAATTAATCTGTGGATAACCAAAGTCCAACATAGGACTTTCACATGCTGGGAAGAGAGAAAGGAACCTGAAAATAAGTACTACTTGTAACTTTACTAGCCAGTCCGACAAGCTACTATTAAGATATTTTTATAGACCCCACCACCAAGACATTCTTGTATTTTTTTTTTTTTGAACGATCTTCTTTTAACAACATCTTGTTGATAAGGGAGTGACCTTTTTCTTTTTATTTTCGCTCTTCAGAAATTTCTAGTTCGAAGAAATCGATGTATTCTTTAACTTAAAATCAATGTGAATATTTCATATGGTGTGGACAAACCTATCATTGGTCTGGAATTTTGGGGGTTAGATTCCAATATAAAATATTAGTAAAAAAGTTCGTCTACTGACTTGAAGAAATTTGCGGCTTGTGTTGTTCAATATAAAACGAGGAGAGATAGTTGAAATAAATAGGTTTTTCTGTCTTGGGGAAAGAAGACCGTTTAATATACTAGATTTATATATATATATATATATATATATGTGTGTGTGTGTGTGTGTGTGTGTGTGTGTGTGTGTGTGTGTGTAAGTATAAATAAAAAGAAAGAACAGTAAGATATATAATCCGGTGTTCGCTTGAGGATGAAATGGAACTAATGTTTTTAATTTAATTACAAAATTAAATTTGGGGCTTTTAGCTTCCATTTTTGAAACATGGTTAGAAATGTGTAGCGAAAAAAACCATATTTTAAATCAATTAATTTATAATATATATATATATATATATATATATATATATATATATATATATGTGTGTGTGTGTGTGTGTGTGTAATGTTTTTTTAGATTGTGTTGTACTTTAACGCCTATATTGTTGGATGCTCTTAATCCATTCTGCCATACTCTTAGAATTATTTAAATTTCTTCATATCTGATTCCAGAATTATCCTGCTTCTGCAATTGATGGTGCTTCCATCAATAAGCTTCCATGATTCCTCCATTCCCCTAAAGAATATTTACCTGTTGGTTCTGATAGTTTATTTTGTTCATTTCTCTAATCTCCTCTTTATTCTTTTCTTTGCGTTGTTTCCAAACCTCTTTTACGGTTGGTGTATCATTTGTTTTATTTAAATTGTACTTACGAGTGTCGTTTCAAAAGTTCTATGCCTCACCCAAAAGGTATTAGAGAAACAAATCAGTTTTTCATTTTTTTTCTATATAGTTCCCCTTGACATCAATCTGCTTGGTTCAACAATGCTTAACGTTAGAACACTAACCAGCAATTAAAGTTACACCACTACTAACCTTGGGTATATCATACCCGATTTTGAAAATATAAAAAAAACAAACAAATTAAATATAAATCTTTATATGAAATATTTTATATGCAGGCACTTCAAACTTTGTACTTTGAGTTAACATTAATAGAAACTGAGAAACATTATTTAGGTAAGAAAATCAGGTACTGAAAATTGTAATTAAAAATATGAAAATTCGTGCTGGGTACTATGTACACATGGTTAGTGTTCTAGGGTTAAGCATTTCAATCCCATCACAGAAGACAGTGGCGTCCTTGTTTTCCAAATGCTCTTCCGCAGTTCATATCTCATAATTGTTTCCAAAATAGGTGGCATTTGGTTTTAGGAAACAGGAAGAAGCTGAGTCTGGTAAGTAAGGGGGATGGAGCATCTGTCTATATTTCTTAGATAAAATATTATGTAAAATATTTACCTTATTCGGGTTATTGTCCTCATCTTTGTTGCCATATTTATTACAACGTTACGGCCTTTCAGTATTTGTCTATATTTCTGAGATGAGGTATTATGTGCACTATTTACATTATTCGGACTATTGTCCTCATCTTTGTTGCCATATTTATTACAACGTTTCGGCCTTTCAGTATCTGCCTATATTTCTGAGATGAGGTATTATGTACACTATTTACATTATTCGGGTTATTGTCCTCATCTTTGTCGCCATATTTATTACAACGTTTCGGCCTTTCAGTATCTATCTATATTTCTGAGATGAGGTATTATGTACACTATTTACATTATTCGGACTATTGTCCTCATCTTTGTCACCATATTTATTACAACGTTACGGCCTTTCAGTATCTTTCTATATTTCTGAGATGAGGTATTATGTACACTATTTACATTATTCGGACTATTGTCCTCATCTTTGTTACCATATTTATTACAACGTTACGGCCTTTCAGTATCTTTCTATATTTCTGAGATGAGGTATTATGTACACTATTTACATTATTCGGGTTATTGTCCTCATCTTTGTCGCCATATTTATTACAACGTTTCGGCCTTTCAGTATCTGTCTATATTTTTGAGATGAGGTATTATGTACACTATTTACATTATTCGGACTATTGTCCTCATCTTTGTTGCCATATTGATTACAACGTTTCGGCCCTTCAGTATCTGTCTATATTTCTGAGATGCGGTATTATGTACACTATTTATATTATTTGGACTATTGTCCTCATCTTTGTCGCCATATTTATTAAGATGAGGATAATAGTCCGAATAATGTAAATAATGGGGATGGAGTAGCTATTCAAAGACATATTTAGTTGCTCTCAACTCTTTCAATTAGAATGTGAACAGGTGCGTTATCCAAGAGCAAGAACGCACGTGCCCTCAGTTTCCATCTGCGTCTCGACTTGATTGCTTCCTTCACTTGTCTTAATCAGTACTGTCCATCAATAGTTTCCCCCACTTTCCAGGTAGTCTGTGATGATGACATCTTCGGAATCCCCCAAAACAGAAGCCACCACCTTGCTAACCCACCATGGTTGCTTGAGATTTGTTGGGGTGGAGAAGGAGACAATTTATTATGCCAGAATCTATCGCAGACATTTATCAGTCTACCATTCGTCTATGAATTGAATATTGCTCTCATATCTGGCATGTGACTTCTGCTATTTATTTAGGGATTTTTGATAAAATACAGAATAGAACCTGCAGACCTGAAATCTCAGTTTCAGTCCCTTTCCTCACAGCCGTAACGTAGCTTCCCTCTGCCTTTTCTATAACTATTTTCATTGTTCTGGTGAGCTTTTCTCTTTGGTACGTCGACTGTATGAATTTAGGCGCAGTACTAGATTGACAGATAGGTCCCATCATTTCACCGTCGAAATCTAACAGTTTCTTCTCTCGCACTTTTCGCTTGTGGAACTCTCTTCCTGCTTCAAATATGATCTTCAAAAATTTAAATGCAATATCATTCGTTATCTTCTGTCTTCTTAATTCTTGTTCTTTTATTGTCCCCTTTCCTTAGTAGTAGTTTTTCTCATATTCTCTAACACCCAGTAACCCCTTGCATCCTAGTGGCTTTATTGCCTTTGATCTTCAAATATTTAAATGCAATGTCAATCGTTATCATCTGTCTTAATTCATGTTCTTTTATAATCCTCTCTCCTTTGTAATAGTTTTTCTCATGTTCTCTAACACTCAGTAACCTACTTGCGGCCTAGTGGCTTTATTGCCTTTGATCTTCAAACATTTAAATGCAATGCCAATCGTTATCTTCTGTCATTTTAATTCTTTTCCTTGTTATGATTTCTTCTTAATAATGTTTTCTTTTTCTCATATTGTCTCACATTCAGTAACCCATTGTGTCTTAGAGGCTTTATTACCTTGCTTGGGGTTTAATGATTAAAAATATTTAAATAACGACTCTCTGAAAAGATACTTTCCGTTCTACTCTACTCAAATTTTATCTTCAAATATTTAAAATGCAAAGTCAATCACTATCTTCTGTCTTAATTCCTTCTTTTAGCCTCTCTCGCCTTAATAAGGTTTTTTTTCTGTTTGTTTTTGGTGTTGTTCTCTATTATTTTGATTTCATTCAACAAAGGTTGGTGAGGCCTCCTTGCATTTCACACATGATCAGCCATACCTGATTTCATATTCTTTCCACAAATTACAGGGGTGTGATATTCTTCCAGATTTACGATTTCGGGATAGCAAACCTGTCTTTGAATTCACCGTCATAACTGCATAGAAGGATATGTACGCAATGATTTTTCATTGGTGCAAATATTTGCTGGTCAAATTCAGAAAATAATCCTAGTTATAGTTTAATTTACAAGTTATGAATAAATGAAAATATCTGATCATTTATCTTCAGAAAACTTCATCGAAAACTTCTTTGAGATTATGAAGATCTTGAAAATTAGTTACTCGTCTGATCTCAGTAACTACTAATCTTCCCCTGTCTGTCTGTCTGTCATTTACTGATCTCTGTCCAAACGGGCGCCTACTGTTGAACGATAGCAAACTTATGTTTCACGGGAGTAGCAGCTTAAATGTTCCATCATTCTCTCTGTCTCTTTAAAAATCGCTTCTCTTTTCTACTTTTCGTCTTCGTTTTTAATCTAATTTATTTCCAACTTTTATTATCGCCTCTTGTATGAACTTTTTTTTTCTCTCAAAATACTGCTCATATTTATTTCAAATACAACCATTTAAATATTTTCACTATCGTTTATCGACGCTTTTATAATTTCATTACCCGTTTATTTGATGGTTTTGTAAAGTTTTCAACCTACAAAGATAGACTTTAATCATTTCGGGTTGTTTAGCAAGCAATAAATTTATTTTCCAAGCTACACAAATAAAAGATTAAATTTGAGACTGTGGGGTTGGGACGGTGAAATGAAGGCGCAACTTTGACATCTACACCCTCGCCCACTCACCAGAATTAATAATGTCATCATTTTTCTATTAGACTTTACAAAAACCATTTTTGTTTAGCGATAGAACACATCTCGGCTTCTTTATTTCACCCAACGCCATCTCTGCCCTTCTTGCTTTATTTCCATTTCCTTCCATCTCTTTTTAACAGTAAATTTAGATTTTTTTTTTCTTTTTTATTACGTTGTTCTTTCTTCGGTTACCTTGTTCTTATTATGTTTCGTTTTTTATTATTCCATTCTTTCTTTTATTACCTTGTCATTTCTTTGGCTATCTTTTTCTTACTCTTTTTCTTTATTTATCATTCCGTTCTTTCTTTTATTACCCTGTTCTTTCTTTGTTTACTTTGTCGTACTCTGCTTATTTATTTATTATTCCGTTCGTTCTTTTATTACCTTCTTTCTTTAGTTACCTTGTTCTTACTACGTTTTCTTTATTTATTATTCTGTTCTTTCTTTTATTACCTTTTCCTTTCATCGTTTACCTTGTTCTTGCTCATTATCTTTCTTTTCCCTTTATTACTTCATTTGTTCTTTTATTACCTTGTTTCCTGTTTGCTTACCTTGTTCGTAATCCCACCATCTTTCTCCTCAAAGTTTTCTTTCCAAAGTAATCCTGTTCCCATTCACCAATTTTCTCTTCCATTTCGGCATTTACTCCCCTTCTTGTGTGCTTTTCTTATTATTCATTCATTCTTTCTTTCATTCATTCTAATCAAAGGCTCCTTAGTTCCATCTATCCCACTATTTTCTTTTTTTTGTCTTGCCTTTCTTTCGTCGAACAGGGACATTTTTTTACAGTCAATAGAGCTTCTTTTATTCCACGGACTTTATTCAAACGATATATTTTATTAATTTTTTTTTTGTTCAGTTATAAACTTTTTCTTTTTTTTACTTTTCTTTTATTTTATATTTTCTAGACTTTTGATTATTTTAATTTCATAATCCTACGTTAATTTACTTAATACTTATTTCTTATCCTAATATCGTCTGCTTTTCTTTCTTTTCCATCATCTTTTTTTCGCTTCCTCCTCTTTCTTCAACTTCTACTTCTTCTTTCTTCTTCATCATCATCTTTTTCGTTTTCTTCTCTTTCTTCTTCTTCTTCTTCTTCGTGTTTTTCATCTTCATCTTCCTTTTTTTTTTGTTCGTTTTCTTCTTCATCATCATCATCATCTTTTTTCTTTTTCTTTTTCTTATTCTTTTTCTTCTTCTTTTTCTTCGTCTTGTTATTCATCTTCTTATTCTTCTTGCTCTTCTTCTTCTTCTTCTTCTTCTTCTTCTTCTTCTTCTTCTTTAAATTCCAATTACTTTATTTTTTTTCTCTCGTCATATCCTCTCCCTGACTGCCATCCCCAATTCTTGGTTCTCTTTCAAATCTTTTTTTTTTTTTTTTTAATCTCCAACCATCTTTCTCTTTTCCTATCGATTTTGTGTTCTTTCCTTTTAATTGAAAGTTAATTTTGGAGACACCCACATTAACGACCCTCTCTTGTAAGTGAAGTGAAGTTTTACTCGACTTTACATTACATTATGAATTCTATTTTTATCTCTGCTTTCAAATTTATTTTATGATTCATCTGATAATAAAAGGCGAATTGAATTTCCCATTTTGCACATGAAGGAAGGAAGGAAGGAAGGAAGGAAGGAAGGAAGGAAGGAATAAATAGAAGAAGAAGAAGAAGAAGAAGAAGAAGAAGGAAGAGATATAAATGGACGGACAAGAAGGAAGGAAGGAAGGAAGGCAGGAAGGAAGGAAGGAAGGAAGGAAGGAAGGAAGAGGTATAAATAAAGTAAGAAGAAGAAGAAGAAGAAGAAGGAAGAGATATAAATGGACGGACAAGAAGAAGGAAAGAAGGAAGGAAGGAAGGAAGGAAGGAAGAGGTATAAATAGAAGAAGAAGAAGGAGGAAGATGTATAAATGGAAGGAAAGAAGGAAGGAAGCTGGAGAAGAAGAAGAATGAGTTATAAATGGAAGGACATGAAGAAGAAGGAGGAGGAAGAAGAAAGGAAGAGTTGTAATTGGACGGACAAGAAGAAGAAGGAGGAGGAGGAGGAAGGAAGGTAGGAAGGAAAGATAGGTATAAATGGAATAATAATAATAATAAGAAGAAGAATTTTGATATGTTAAAAGGGAAAGATTCAGGAAAATGGAAGAAGAAAAAGATAAATAAATCCATTAAAAAAGCAAAAACAAAAAGAGAAGGGACTCTGATGTCAAAATGGCGTTTGTAGAGACAATTTTTCGGTAGACAGAAAACAAGAAAAAGTGTTTTACATACATACTCGGTTGATATAAAGTTTACTGTTTAAGAAAATAAAAAATAAAAAAAAACTTACATAGCAACATAAACACATGTACTCGCTAAAATTAACGTTTATAGCAAAAAGAAACAATTTCGGATTGCTTTGACTTTTTTACGGTTTATCAACCTTTTGCATGTTTCGTTTTTGTAATTATTTTTTAAATAATAATAGTTTAGTGACACAAAAATGATTTTCACTCAGTGCATTTCTTGCATCATTTGATTGCATTGCACGGAAAAATATCCGTGAATATGAACGGATTATTCTAAAAATAAGCAGACACAATGTTTGTAATTTATTTAATCAGACATGTATAAAAGAGAATTTGCTGCCTAAATAAACAAATTAAAATAAATATAGACAGATATTAAATGTGTAAAAAAAGAAATTGGGAACAATCTTTCATAAAAAAAAAGCAAGAGTGTCACTGATTATTAGCTTGTACAGCTGATTCGTTAACATGGCTTTGTTGCAGGCTAAGCGAATCTTTCTAAATATCAATAAGAAAAAGAGGTAGATAAAAAGAAGAGTGAAGAAAAGAGCTAATAAAACAAAGAAATTAAAATTCTCAGTAGAAATTCTCTTATAATATGACATTACCATGTCATACATGACACGAACTGTTATTTGGGCAGGTAATGTCGTTGTTTCGTAGTGATTCGTATCCTTGATGTTGCTTGTATTAGTCTCTACTGTTGTCGTCAGGCCAATATCCCAAAGGCACAAAGTCTGTCTCTTACTTATAGTCAAATCAACCATATTTTCACAACGAGAAATATTTCCTTGTAGTAATAAATAGCCAATGCATATGGTCCGCATTGGCTACTTTTATTGTCCCGAGTGGAGAAAACTTATCGACTACTTGTCAGTGAGGGAGAGGGTGTAGTCATAGAGAAAAACTTCCATATCGCGCCAGCTTGCAAACCATGTGTTCCTTATCATGCGAAGAATAATTACTGAAGACTCTTGGAGGAAGAAACTCCTTTTTTCAGTATGATATCTCAAGTCCTCACGAATTGCTGATACGTCAATTCACGGGCTATTGGAAAGACCCCGCCCCAATCTTGCTTCATTTTTATTGTTTTTTTTTGTTTTGTTTTTTTTTGCAGGATTTCTGACAAATATATCGTATTTCTTTTTAGTATTTAGAAGCTGTATTCTCATTTCAATAGCTAGTTAGAAGAAGAAAAAAAAGAAAAAAAAAGAAAACAAGAACGAAGGAAAGAGGATAAACAAACGAATACGGAAAATAGGAAAAATACGAATGAAAATGGAAAGAAAAGGAAAATTCAAACGACTGACATAAAGGAAATACCATAAACGTGTTGTTGATTCTTCAAATTCTACTTTGTGAATTTTTCGGCTTTAGCGAAGCACTTTATCCTGCAACTGAAAGGGAAAGTCACGTTTCAGTTTTTCAACAACAGTCCATTGGCTCATTAGAAAAAAAAAAGAATCTATTCTATCCCCTATCAGGCATAACCCTTCTGTTTCGTATCTGACGTGAACGAGTGTCATGTAATGTCGGTCATCTTAAGGCCGGACAGGCTTATTCCGATGTGAGCCGACAAAAAGGATCAAAGCTTCAAAGTTTACGGACAGCTGTCGTCAGCGAAAGAGGGTTGATTAATTGCGCAAGTGTCGAACTTAACACGCTTTAACCAGAGTAAACAATGATTAGTATCGAGGGGAAAAAATAACAAGTTGTTATCTATCTATCTATCTATCTATCTATCGTGTTCTTTCTTTCTTTCTTTTTTTTTTCTTTCTTTCTTTCTTTCTTTTTTTTCTTTCTTTCTTTCTATCGTGATCTTTTTCTTTCTTTCATTCTATCTATCTATCTATCTATGGTGGTCACTTTCTTTCTTTCATTCAATCTCTCATAGTAGCTATCTATCTATCTATCTATCTTGTTCCGTTTTTTTCTATCTATCTATCTATCTATCTATCTATCTATCTATCTATCGTGACCTCTTTTTATCTCTCTCTCTCTCTCTCTCTCTCTATCTATCTCCGTCTGTTCATATCTGTCAACCTACCTACCTACTGTTGTATCCTTAAAGAAGGTTACAAACAGACAAAAGTGGAACTCGAGTGAAAGGAATAGCAACAGGCTCATAGATGAAAGAATGCGAGGTTTATTGTAAAAGAGAATACAATACTGAAAGAATCGGACAGGGAATCGGTTAGCAGGCTAGTAATGCCCGAACCAAGGATATTTTTCAAACGCCACACGCGGTCAGATATGGTATTAGAGCGAATTTAATTTGCGGTATCCGAACCCCTAGGCTTGTGCAAAAATTCCCCGTAGACCCCGTATACACGGGGACGGGGAGCTGTCTACCACCCAAGACGAAAGTCTGTCCTTCGGCATAGCGACGTCTTGGTTCCCCTCTGCCCGAAGGCAGAGAGTTCGACCAGCACAGGTGGAGACGAATCTCCAACTCCCGAAGCAAGGTTATTTACCTTACCTCCCCGCGAGGCAAGATGTGGCAGTTTTTTAATGCGGGTCAAACCGAGCCTGTAGGCTGGGGCAAAAATTCCCTAAGCAAGGATGTTTGCCAATTGCGCCACGCGGTCAGATATGGCACAGGGCCGAAATTCAACGTGGGGTATCCGAGCCCGTAGGCTCGTGCAAATATTCCCCGTGAACCCCGTAAACAACGGGGTCGGGTAGCTCTCTAGCACCCCAATGGAGACTCTGCCCTTTGGCAGAGCCTCGTCTGGGTTCCTCTCTACCTGAAGGCAGAGAGTTCGAGTAGCTTAGCTAGAGATGAATCTCCAACTAATTGCCGAAACAAGTCCCAGGTATATCCTGTGCACACTTTATGTATATACTGATATAGTCGGTCCGCAATAGGCGATAGGGAGAGTGGGACATTCCATTACATTATCTACCTACATATCTGCCTACCTACCTACATACCTACCTGTCTATCTACCTACCTGTCTAACTAAACACACGCACACACATGATGTTCGTCTACTCGTTTATTCAGTATAAAACATCGCTGACTAAGAAATTCTCAAAACTGCTCGTGTCAACAACGCATCGACTCACGCCAACACAATCATGTATTCTAGAAACAAAAAGGAGTAAGATATCTTAATAAAAACGAGTCTACTTAAATAAAGTGGTCCACTCTTAAAAAAATAGAAAATTCTAGGGCTTTTGCACAATATAATTTTTTTTAACCCTTTCTTAAACCGCAACACATGTCAGAATCGAAAAATCTTGTTTTTTTTATCGGTTTAGAAATGTGGTCCTGTCTATAATACCTGCATATTGACTTTTAGGACCTAGATGCTTTGAGTACAAAATCACACATTTTTCGGTGGAGTTGCAAATATATTTCACTTAAAGGACAAACGAATATATAGATTTTTAATTAAGCAACAATAATTTACATAAATTAATAAAATTATTTTACCCCAATCAAGGTAACAAAGCCACTAAGACACAATGGGTCAATGTCTGTTAGAGAATTTGAGAAAAGGGTAAATTTGCAATAAAAGCCCCCGGTATTGAAAATGTCCCATTCTGGTGT